CATGTGGGGAAAGCATCATGAAAGTCTTCTTTTAACTTTGGGGCACCTCTACCCACTCACCACCCGCCAAAAAAAAAGAAAAAAAGAAAAAAAGAAAAACAACAACAAAAAAACTCTCAAAAACCTCAAAATGGCAATAACCTTGGCTCTTTTGGTAATTGTTTTGGTACACTTTTCCTCCAGAATTTCAAAGTACATATTTATTGATTTTGAAATTTTGGTTTTGGCCTCCAAAGCCCCCAAATCAAAGTGATAAAACATTAGCAAGGGTAACTAATGTTATTTAAAATAGCATCAGAGTTCTCTAAGGTAATAAGCCCAATCTTCTGATTTAAAAAATACTGGTTTTTAAAAAAATATGATAGAGACCAAAAAAGCTTCCTTAAAAGCAGTAAAATGTTTTAATATTTAATAGTTGATAATGAAAGAGATAATTAGTTCATATTTACTGAATACTTATTGTGCTAGGAGCCACTGTAAAAGTTCATTAATCATCTTAACAACCCTATTAATGTAGGTTCTGTAGTATGAAGCTCCACTTTCAGATGACAGAATGGAGAAACAGAGAAGTTAAATAACTTGACTTCAGTCACAGAGCTACTAAACAGTGGAGCCAGAATTTAAATCACAGGCCAAGCCCATGAGATCATAACCATGTTCTCATCTACCTCCGCACAGAAGGGGAATGATGCTATTTTGTGTTAAAGTTCTTGGCCTGGTCAAACAAATTAATTAAAGTGTTCTTCTAAAAGGAATCAAGACAACCATAGATAAACAAAAGCATATACAATTTTCCTAGAATTTTGTTTTTTCTTTTTACAGTCAAGAAAGTTGAAGCTGTAGAATTGTCCCCCATTCTAAGGATGCTGTGGCAATGAGTAAAAGTGACATCAAGGTCAAGGTCAGAGGCAGAAGCTAGTTTGCAGTGGCATAATGAAGAACCAGTTGGTCCTTACTGCCCTCCCACCTCTTTTTGCAACCCATTCCTCAGAACTTTTTGTTCTACCCTCCAATTGTCCAAAGCTTCCCCCTACTCTGCTACTGGTGCTAATGTTTTAAAATAGATTAAATGACTCAAGTTCCCAAATTTTCTTGAAATCTGCTATTTCCTGAATCTGCTTTATCTCAGCTGGTATTAAGAAAATAATTGAATTATCTGTTAAAGTTAGTCCTACTAAGGAGTGATTTACTAGTAACAACCAGAATTTTTTGCATTATACATTACACTCTTTAAAAGGAGTATGGATTTCCCAGAATTTTAAATTGATGGAGTCTTTCAGAGGATATCTGTGAGTAGGTGGTTTCCAGGCTTGTTAGCCTGGAAATGATGTCCCTCTCACTATCCTCACCTGGAACCTAGGATTCCTTTTCTAAATGTTTGCTTAACTCTTTATTTTTTGTTAATTTTTTTTTTTTCCTTTAGACTGAGTCTCGCTGTCACCCAGGTTGGAGTGCAGTGGTGTGATCACAGCTCACTGCAACCTCCGCCTCCCAGGTTCAAGCGATTCTCCTGCTTCAGCCTCCCAAGTAGCTGGGATTACAGGAACCTGCCACCACATCTGGCTAATTTTTGTAGAGACGGGGTTTCACTATGTTGGCCAGCCTGGTCTCACACTCCTGACCTCAGGTGGTCCACCTGCCTCGGCCTCCCAAAGTGCTGGGATTACAGGCATAAGCCACTGTGCTCAGCCTATTTTTTAAAATTTTAATTTAATTTCAGTTTTTTTTTTTTTTTTTTTTTTGTAGAGATGGTGTCTCTGTGTTGCCCAGGCTAGTCTCAAACTCCAGAGCTTAAACAATCCTCCCACCTTGACCTCCCAAAGTACTAGGATTACATGCATGAGCTACTGTGCCCACCTAACTCTTTTAAAAAAAATTTTAAATACAAAGTGATCTAGGAAAGGGAAATGATCATTCTCTATCTTGGATAGAGTTTTTCCTCATGTGGTTTGTGGATTACCCGCTTCAGACTTAACTGGAGAGATTCCCAGCCCTGACTCTGACCTACTACACCAAAATCTTCCAGTAGGGCTCAGGAATCTATATTCTTTGTGTGTGTGTGTGTGTGTGTGTGTGTGTGTGTGGTTTTCTTTTTAATTATCTTTAGTCTTGTGGTCACACATATTTTTAAAATTTGTGTATATCTCCACTACTTTAATCCCTGTAAGTTGGCAAAAGCACCATTCTCAATCACAAATACACAGTTCTACAGTTTTATAAGTTTCTGAAAGGCTGTTTAAAGACAGTCCTAAATTATAACTTAGTTTGACTTAGATTGTAAAGAATTCAAGAGTGAAGTTTAACTTGCTACTATTTTAAAAGCATGTGACCTTATAGATCTATAAGATGTGAGAAGTGTTGAATCATCTTTAATATTACACATAAACCACACTAAAATGCCTTTCAATAAGTAAAAGGAACAATTTTAAATACAGGGAATTATAATTAAATTGGCATAGTTAAGGCCAAAACTCTAGACATTGCTACCTTATTTATCTTCAACCCTTGCCTTTAAGAGGCAAATGAACACAAAACACAGGTGAATCTTGCTTGGTTCTGAGACAGTGAAGGAATTTCCCCAGTATTTAAATATATTCACAAACCAGTTATATAAATCTAAATATAAAACCAATCTCCAGTAAGTTTTAAGATGGCACTCACCATCTTTGTGAAAAGTTGAACATTACTAACGAAGTCTAATCATATCTTTAGAAGGGGTAAACAGTGGTAGCATTTACCGAATTGGAATTACTATTAAAATTCAAAAACTGAACATATTCATTTAACCACAAGCCAGTCTTAGTTTTAAATTAGGACTGCCCAACAAAATATTCTGTCAGTAACTCATGATCTGAATTCTGGTGTATGAGATCTATTAAAGTATGGTACACATAAAAAAGTCAGACATTTGTTTTGTAATAAATAAAATGTGGCCTATTACTCATTAGCAGCTTTTTTGAGATAAGCTATCAAGTCTGCCCTTTCTTCCTTCTTCTTAATGCCGACAAAGATCATTTTTGTTCCAGGGATGTACTTCTTGGGATTCTCCAAATACTCCATCAGTGTATCCTCTCCCCAGGTGATGCCTTTGTTCTTATTGGCAGCTGTGTAAGAGTATCCAGGGGCCTCACCTGTCTTCCGCCCGAAGAGACCATGGAGATTTGGCCCAGTCTTGTGCTTGCCTCCCTTTTAAATGGTGTGGCACTGGGAACACTTCATAATAAAAATCTTGCCTTTCTCAACATCACCCATATTTAATTCTCTTTTTAGTCGCTGGCCCAATGAAGATTCCTGCTCTGAAGCCGGATGTCCCAACTCTCTCAGGAATCTGTATTCTAACAACCTTCCCAGATGATTTTTATGTGTGCATGAAGTTTGGAAACCACTGACCTAAAGGGATAATTTTTAAAAGTAAAGAACCAGCATCACTTGGGTTATTGGATTCTTTCCTATTACAGATCACAGACGAGAGCTTCAAGGAGTATCATGTAAAAACCTAATTATAAGACCAAATATAATTTTAGGAGACTAATAATTAACAACTCTATTTACAAGACTGTATGTCCTTTTGTTGTAAATTATACGTGTGAAATGTCTCAAGGGATAGATGTGAAATGTCTCAAAGAAATCTTTGGTGGATGTTGTTTAATCCTGACTTGCTTTCCATAAAATTAACCAGTTGCCCAAAGTTTTTACTCTACTACCCACAGATGAGTCTCCAGTAACCCTTAAGGCATTCTCTGAACAAGCCTCATTTCCTGTATAAAAGAAAACTGGCTTAAAATGAACTGAGTTTAGTTAACTGCACAAAACTTAGGCTGATTAAACTGGTTATCAAAAATGACTATGAATTCTGCAGCTTTGGAGATGTTTTAACATAGGAAATACAACTATATTTTTGGATGAGCAGGGTATATAGTGGCCTAAAGCTAGAGAATCCAAATGGAAGGCTCAAACTGGATTCTAGTACAAACAGGTTAAAACTAGATTTGACTAAACCTACCTCTCCATCCAATTGAATGTGAACCTGTTTTTGTTTTTTATTTTTTCATTTTTATTTATTTATATCCCTTTTTTGTTTTTGAGATGCAGTCTCACGCTGTTGCCCAGGCTGGAGTGCAGTGTTGGCTCACTGCAACCTCCACCTCCCGGGTTCAAGCAATTCTCCTGTCTCAGCCTTCCAAAGAGCTGGGAATACAGGCGCGCGCTACCATGCCCAGCTAATTTTTGTATTTTTGGTACAGACGGCGTTTCACCAGATTGGCCAGGATGGTCTTGATCTCTTGACCTCATGATCCGCCTGCCTCAGCCTCCCAAAGTGCTGGGATTACAGGCGTGAGCCCCACCGCGCCCAGCCTGTTTCATTTTTTAACCAATTTTTAACCAAGAATTCCTTGCCATTCTGCCATAATATAATGGCCTCTTGAGAATCCTTTACAGAAACACAGTTTAGATGTACATAACATACTAAGAAGGAAATCACTTAACTTAACAATACCACACCCAGATAATTCAAATACCTAATAGAATTTTTCATTCGAATTATTTGGTTTGGCCAAGTTAATTGGGTAACTTTTTTTTTTTTTTTGAGACGGAGTCTTGCTCTGTTGCCCACGCCGGAGTGCAGTGGCGTGATCTCGGCTCACTGCCCCTGGGCCTCCCGGCTTCAATTGAGTCTCCAGCCTCAGCCGCCCTCGAGTAGCTGGGACTACAGGCACGCCACCACGCCCAGCTAATTTTTGTATTGTTCGTAGAGACTGGGTTTCGCCATGTTGGGCAGGCTGGTCTTGAACTCCTGACCTCAGGTGATCCACCTGCCACAGCCTCCCAAAGTGCTGGGATTACAGGCGTGAGCCACAGTGCCCGGCCTTTTTTTTTTTTTTTTTTTTCTTATACATTGTTTACACTCCTCACTCTCACTCCTGATTCTTAACAGTTGTCACAACCTTTCTTCTCCTTCATTTAAAATCTAACTCAGTTCAATCAGGAAGGTCACTTACCTTGAAAGTCTTCCTTCTTTAGAGCTGGGGTGCATGGTGTTCTTGCTGGCAGAGTAGAAACAAGATATCAAGGAAAAAGAACCTGTAACACACTGGGAACCCTTAACTCATTGTAAGAACTGCCTCCAAATCAACTTCCTCAAAAACTAAAGAACTCTTCGAGAGAGCGAGACTAGTTGATAAAAAATCTAAGGGGAGAACTTCTAAAGATTGTAATACTAAAAATAATTCCGTAAAACTACAATCCAAGTCTACCCAACAAAACTTTAAAAATATAATTTTATCTTTCCTTCAAGAGATCATGGGAAAATCTACTATTTTCGTTTAAAATATATAACTTCTATTTGTTACTGTATTTGGATTTGTGCTACCACTATTCTGGATTTGTTCCCATGTATCTGTGGAACCAAGCAGCTAATAATCTTTACTCAGCATCTCTGGGTGTTTCTTGAATGAAAATGGAATGGATGGGTGGAATTAATGGCTAGATGTTTAGAAGACACTACTTTGTTATTTTCTCTGTATAATGTTGAAAGCCTACAACTATACAGAGACATAAACAAGCCAGGGTGAGAGGCTGGGAAAGATGAAGAGGGAGGAGGAAAGGATGGGCTTGTAGCCCTCATCCGGTCAAACTCCCAACTTTGAGCTTCACTTTATTGTAAAATTAGAGGCTAAAACTATTTAAAGCTTCCAAAACTTTTTGATGAAACCGAAATGCCAATTAGCTACTAACATAATTAACCAGTGTATCCTGATTTTTAAAAGATGTTTTCCTTTGTGATTTAAACGAAACATGGGAGCTGGAGTTGCAGCGTCAGTCCTGAAGGACTGACCTTGGGAGGCCAGGTAGGAACTGTTAAATGGGCAACAAAATCACATGTTTTCAACTGAATATACTGATATTCAAGTGTCCAGAAAAATAATTTCGAGGCTACGTTCACAAGTTTGCCAGAAAGCCCTCTTGACACAGCTGCGGATCTCAGACATCTGAGTTAGCACCATTCTGCTTAGCACCATTAAGACTGGATGCTTCGAGCAGAGTTGGGAACATTATCATCTGAGGAAACTAAAAGGCGCCAGCAGTAGGGCTTTTTCCAACGTCTCTGACAAAATATGTTGCGGGAAAAGTCAACCCGCCCCAAATTCCCCCGTGTGGCCCTAACTCGAGGCTCCGGCTCCTCGCGCCAGCAAGCTGAGGAAGAGACAGTCTCCTGCGATTTAAATACAAACGCGCGCGTGCAGCGAAGGCCATCCCAGGGCAGCCACTGCCACCTCCGCCGCTTCCGACGCCCGCG